TTCAGAGCAGACTTAGTCGAGAAGGTACTTGCGACCCACGTTGGGATCCCTGTGGTGTGCATCATACCACGCTTCGAGTACTGACACAAGCTTATCGCACCGATCCTGTAGGTCAGGCCCTGGCTTCAGCTTGAGGCTCTTGACCTTCCAGCTCATTGAGGCGAAATCGAACCACTTCGTTCGGACCGAATGGCGATATTCAACCCACTCGACCTTCTCGCTGTTCACCACGGGATTGAATGGCGTAGACTCTGGCACCTTAGGGCACATATTGAGTATATTGAGGTTCTCCATGGTGAGCTCGATGAAGAGGACGTTCCTGTGGTTGGCACACGTGAGGACAAACACGTCGTGGCTGACGTCGTCAGTGGTCTGGACCGTCACGACCACGAAGTCCGATATCTCATCGATGAGGTCCTTGCGAGGGCGCTTGCAAGGCTGAGCAGGAACGCCTTCCTCAGCCAAGGGGTCATCGTCCACCACAGTCTCAACTTGGCTCATGAGATATTCCACCTTGATATTGCGAAGGCGAGTGAGCTCGTCGACCATGCCGAACTTCCCGCCAACGAATTTAACGAATCGGTGCTCCGAGCGGCAGCATGGGATGAAGCGACGGTCTCCAACAATTTGTGGCTTCACATACCATGTGTTGGCAGCTGTGGCTGGGGTCGAAGCAGAGACCATTACGAACCCATCTTCCATCGACGCCATCTTGCAAGGACACACCTGAAGTGGATGCCTGCTCGTCCAGATTGTTTGAGCCAAAATGGCTTCGGAGGAGGACGGGAAGGAACATTGGAGTTGGATGATATGTGCGAGGATGGATGGGTGAGGACGGAGGACGCATCAGGAGGAGTGCCTTATGTTCCTCCTTCTGTCCTTCTTTGCAGTTCTGCCGAACCCATTTCTAGTGTCGGAGGCCACTGCAGGCCTAGGCGCGGGGTCGATCAGTGGTCAAGCCCTCTTCCCTACAAGTACTACAGACCCCCCTGCATGTATTTGCATTGCGGTTGCGAGTATGTTTGCGATTGCCACGGCGACCGTCAAGTTTTTGCGTGGTGCGCAGGGTCCACGTGTTACCACCAATGCCCTCGCCATTGCGACTGTTGTTTCGATGTATAGTACCAGCGCTACCATTGCCACTACTACCGTCATTACAATTAAGCCTAGGGGTGCTACGGCTATTGCTCGTTCTAGGGCTACCATTATTGCTGTTACAGTTGCTGCTGCTGGTGCTATTACGACTGCTACTACTACCACTACTACTATTACTACCACCGCCACTACTACTACTACTACTACTACTACTACTACTACTACTACTACTACTACTACTGCTGCGACTGCAACGCTGCGACTACTTCTCCTACAGCGTTCAGTAACACTGCTCCTGCTGCACTATCGCTGCTATTGCTGCTACGGCGACTGTTATCATACGTACTGTCGTTCCCACTCGTATACTCCGAGCCCTTCTACTGCGACACGTGCACCTGCTACTTTTCACCTTGCATCCTGCTACCGCATATCATTGCTGTTGCTGATGCTCCTGCATTGTGCTACTACCGTTGTTCAGTCGATGTGCTGTGCATATGCTGATGCACTTGATCCGACGACAGTTAGTGTCGATCGCACCCTTTTGGATGACTACCACCGCTATCGCTACACCGCCTGCTGCCACCCATGATGCTATCATAGCTACCGTGATGCTTCTACTGCTTCCGAGTTCATTGGTTGGGCCGCCGTTGATGAGATGTCATCTCTGAGTCGGGCCAGCCATCTCGTTCGAAAAATACATTCGCACACGGGTCAACACTAAAGTTGCAATGCTGGTGCCAGCGGTAGAGAGCTCCCGCCCATTCTTGATCTCACCTTTGCCATTGCCCGTCACCCTCTCTCTCGCTCTTTCTCTGTTACCCTCTCTTTTGTCAACTCCCATCTGCCTCCCAACCCCTCTACCTACGCGAATAAGCCACACCGCGCCCCTACGTCAGAGCGGTCTCGAGCTGGCACCGTGCATTCGACAGAGGCCGCACATGCCCTCAAGGCGACCACGCGAGACAACACTAAACTGGCTGGCTTCACTGGTGACCATGGCGTGAGCGTGCGAGGGCGAGAAGTGTAATGTGCGCAACATGTATGTGACATGCGTGCGGAATGGAGGAGTGTGGGGGGAGGGAGCCATGGTCGGACCTAGAGGGTTTCAAATCACGCCTTCGCTCGCTTAGGAGCGCCGCCCCCACTGCCCACGGAGGCTCTCTTCGGGGTCGGGTCTACTTTAGGAAATGGAGGCCTACACAGCACAGTCCCTTTCTTGATCGGCTTGGGGTTTGTGAGGTAGGGGATCTCAACAGACAAAAGCGCGCCAGCCTCAGTAGACTTACCATGCGAAACCGTGCCGTTTAGCTGAACTTTCATTTTGCTGAACTCTAGGTTCGGTTCATCCCCCTCGGGCACGATCCAAAATGGAACCACGAGCTTAGTCTCACCACCATGGTTGAAATCAGTCTTCGGGCTTATGTAGCAATGCGTGCCGCTTCGATTGCCAAGGATAGACACAACTATGCAGTTGTTGGGTGCTTTAGGGCCGATAGAAACAAGTGGCGTCAGTGGGATCAATATCATACCATGCTTAGGGTAATCGGTCGTCGCGGACACCTTCGAAACAGTCGGCCTCGAGCTGAGAACGTATTCGATGCTCACCTTCGCGTTGTAGGCATACGTAGCGTTGGTGAGCGCCAGTTTCACCAGAGCCTTCATCTCCTCGTTCGCAATATCTGCATGCTCCTGCAGCGGGTGAGAGGGACGAGGACGCACGCTTGTAGGATGAGTAGGACGGTGACGCTGAGTGAACCACGAGGGTCCTCTCATTCACATCCTCCTCCTCCTCCTCCTAGTCCTCCTGCTGCTTCTGCTGCTGCTCCTCCTCCTCAGTATCTTCCTCATCCATTTTCCCCTGGCCTCATCATCCTTCTCTTCCTCCTCCTCATCCTCCTCATCATCCTCCTCCTCTACGTTCGTCCTGCTCCTCCTGCACATCTGTATCCTCTCCCTCTCGCCCTGTGAGCGTCCAGAGCGGACGCCCCGTCAGCCTCGATGGTCACGTGCTCTGTCTCCATGAGCACCTCTGGGGGGCGGCATTGCGAAAATATTGGGACAGTTGAGGGTGATGAGGGTGGTTTACTAAGATGACGAACGGCAGCCATTGCGAGGAAGGACGGTGAGCCAGACCTTGAAGTCGATAAAGGCAGTCATCGTGGGGAGGATCAGGAAGGGAATGGAGAGAAGGGCACGGAGAAAGAAGGTGAGGAATCGGGGTGGCGATGGCAACGACGACGGAGTCAAGTTCGGATGTGGGGAAGGCCCCTCTAGAGTAAGAGCAGAGACCCCAACGCTATATCTAGTGGCCTTCGGCCCATCCGCAAGAGCAGAACCCCCCAGCATTATATATTGGAGACGCCAGCCTCATGAGGCTGGCTTTTCCAGGGGCCACCAACAAAAGAAACATGAAAGGGGCCACCAAACATTAATGGAACAAAAACATACATTGGGAGAGGGCGAACTTGTTTTTTTTAACCGATGCGCCTTGTACTCGTCGACCATCTTGGAAACCAGTATCTTGAACGGCTTCGGCGTGAACTTGTTGCCCGTGTCCGTCAGCTTCATCACAGTGGCCTCGCCGCCCATGACGTTCTGGATGATGTACTTCCTGGTCTCATCGTCGACGGCCTGGATTTTAGCTCCTTGCACGAAGCCCAGTTCGGCACAGCTTTGAAGGCCGTCGTCCTTGAACTCCCTGATCGCGCCAACGCACGGCGCCTTCTCGTCAAGCTTAGGCTCGTAGTTCCAGGGAGGTGTCAGCTCCTTCGCTGCAGGTGCGATCGCGTACACGTCCTCCAGCAGGGATTGCTGTACCTCCCCCAAGGTGGCGTAGTGACGTCTCGATCTGCATTTCTTGTTGTGCACTGTCATAACGCATCGGATGTCGAAGTCATGGATCAGCTTCTTCTTCTTACCAATCGTGAGGCAGGTGATGGTATTCACGAAAGTCCGAGCTGCCTTCATCATGGTAGCTGCTGTGATGCATTGCGGCTTGAGCTTATTCTGAATTGAGAGAACATCAGTAGACGAAAGAAGTTTGCTCTCGTTGCCCCTGCAGTGCGCCTCGGGCGCTGTCATGCTAGCCTTGATTGTAGCGGTAATGTAATCAACACCTTGAGCGAGTTGGACGCTGCCGAGTGCTTTCCAGAGGGACCCTGGAATGTGACGTCGGAACTTCAACGAACATGCAAATTCTTGAAGCTCTTTCAAGCATGATGCATTCTCTCCTCCAGACCACTCCTTGACGTAGAGACTCATGCCTTCGACGTCGCCCTTGAGCTCGGAGTTCGATTTCACCAAGTCCTTGCAGAGCAACTCCCACTTCGGGTCGGCGTGCATCTTGTAATTCTTTGTGGCAATGCGATGGATGCGCAACAATGTTTGCATCTGTGTTTGAACTTGGCGTGCGTTGTGCGACTGGTTGCCTGCTTCTTGAAGGAAGCTCGGTAGGTCGGGGCACTCCGCTTCCACCTGGTGGCGGATGATAACCCACGGAATTCCATCTCTCAATGGCGGCCCGTATGTTGGGCAGTAGCTGATAAGTTTCTCCATCGTCAGTTTCCCGTCCTCGTTCGCGAGGTCCTCGATTGTAGTAGCGCAGTTGCCCAGCACACAACGAAACGTAGCATTTGTGTGGGAACAACACACCGTCAAGTATCTGAGGTTGTGACGCTCCATGGCAGGCAACATGTCGTCGGACCCTCTGTGGTCTGCACGACATGTTTTCAGAGCACGTCTGGCTGAGTCTGCCTTGTTTGAGCACATCGGCTCATGTTCTAAGAACAGTGTGTTTGGTCTTGGAACATCTCTGGGTTCTAAGAACATGTCGTGGTAGGCCTATATGAATGCCGGGACGGCCGGTCCCTGCTCACCTGTCTCGGCTCCTCGAGCGCCGCTAGAAGGTGCCCGAGCTGCCCCAGACCGCGGGGTGCTACGTGTGGCTGCCGAGCGGGTGCCCGCAGCACAACCTGGACGCGAAGGACAGGCGGCCGGCACCGGAGACCAAGAGGGCGTCAGCGTCCACCCTTCGCTCAGGGGCAACGATACGGGGGGAATAGGCATAGGGGGGGGATGCATCGACCTCCAATCGCCCATGGATCGCCGATAGGGGCCCGATAGTCCCAGCCTGCCCAGGAAGGTTCGGATTCACTATCGGAGGCCTATCGCCGATCCATCGGCGATGTATCGCCGATTCCAGGTCGATGCATCCCCCCTATGCCAGTCCCCCCCTATCGTTGCCCCTCATTCGCCATGAAGCAAGCGGGTCCTGAGGGAGATGGGTCCTGAGAGGTTCTTCTGCGCCTTTGCTTGTTCGGGGTCCTCTACGGGCCCTGGGACCGTTAGAAAACTGCCCAGGATGACGAGTTGGCTCCGGGGGACACTTAATGTTGCACCTTCGGGGGGCCTCGCCTGTCCAAAAAGTGATGTCTTGTCTTGTGCCCGACGCGGGCTCGATGCGGACTCGACGCGGATCTGGCATGGATTCGACACGGATTCGACACGGATCCGACGAGTCCGACATGGATTCGACACGGATTCGGCGCGGATAGGGCCGCGACGGGACAGATAAGGCCTTCCCTAGGACGCAACAGAAGGGAAGCCCCAGGTTTTCAGGACTCCAGGGTTCAGCGGCGAGAGGGATGTGCATGACAGAGTCTTAGACGCTCCGTGCCTATGGAGCCAGGGATGCCGAAAGAGTTTTTGATGTTTTTTCGCACTGTTTCTCACTGCGTTCGGTGGCGGTCATGCCGGCGCTACGTCTCCTGCCCATGCACTTCTGACGTGCACGGCGCCCCCAGACCCCAGACGTCAGGACTTTGTCATGACGTCGACCCCCAGAGAGGCCTCGACCCCTTCCCCGGGACCGGCCTCTCATCCCGAGTCCCTTTTTGAGGGCCCCGAGGGCCCGAGAAGGGCCCCCAGAGGCCGAACAGACAACGAAAAGCCTCCTGTCGTGATGTCTTCGTGGCGCGAGGGGTGCCTGGGTCTCCTCTTTCCTTGGGGGTCGATCTGCTGCCGGCCAGACCTTTCACTGTACAGTCGGGCCGTTGAAGAAGGAACCCTTGTCGTTTGAGAGGGGCTCTGTGTCCCTTAGTGATTTTGCAGCGCTCCTTGGGTTTTCCGGAGGTTTTCCATGGAAAATCAGAGTCTTATCTATGGAAAAAGAGCGCTTCGTTCCTTATTCATCGTTCCTTAAGATCAGCGCCCCGACTGTAGGCCTCCTCGATGGGATCGGAGCAGGTGGGGCCGGAGGACGGCGCCACGTCGCCGAGGCATCCACGGCGCGGCGCGACGTGGCGCCCCCGGTGTGCTTCACGTCGACATCGCCGACGTCGCCGAGGCATCGCCGGTGCGCCGCAGATGCCTCGGCGATGCAGCGGCGAGGCGGCGCGAGCCTCCGACCCCACCTCGGAGACCTTTCTCACGGGGGGGGAGAAAGGGGAGTCGGCCCGTGCCTCGCCCCGCACGGCAGGGCCGCCCCCGTCGTGCCCTCGTCGTGTGTGCCTCCCGTCGTGCTGCCTTCGTGTGAAGTCGGGCCTGTCCCCCCAACAGGGGGATTTTCGACGAGAAATGAAAAATACCCCCAAAAATTGTCAAAAACAAAGAATTGTCCAAACATAGTCTGGGGACTATTTTTTAAAAAATTATTTTTTGACCCTCTTGGGGTATTTTTCTGGTTTTTTTAAAAAAAAATTTGTTCATCGACAATCCCCCTGTAGGGGGACAGGCCCGACTTAACTTTCGTGGCGCCCGGGGGGAGGGGGTGTCTGGGTCTCCCTTTTTTCCCCTGGGGGGATCGGCTTGCTGCTGCCTGCCAGGCATCTCACATGGGGGGGGCCTGCCCTCACGTCGGGCCTGTCCCTCTGCAGGAGGACGATGCCAAAATGGAAAGAAAAAAAAAAAAAAAAAAAAAAAAAAAAAAGTAGTCGGGGGACTGCTGCTTGCCCTGTGCCCCTGTGCTTGCTCATTCTGGAGCATTCCTTGACTATTGTTTTTTATGTTTCGTCTAGACTCTCCGCCTGCAGGGGGGACATACCCGACCTAAGCCTGCCCGTGCCTCTCTCTCTCTCTCTCTCTATTTTTATGTTTCGTCTAGACTCCGCCTGCATGGGGACGTGCCCGACCCGAGCCTGCCCGTGCCTCTCTCTCTCTCTCTCTCCCTCTCTCTCTCTCTCCGCACGTCTTGCCGCCGGCAGGGCCGCCCCGTGCTGCCGCCGCGGGGGCCCCCGCGCGCCCCCCCCGTCCAGGTCGGGGGCCGAGGGGCCGGTCGGGCAGGCCGCCTCTGCAGGAGGAGTGTTCAAAAGCAAGCAGTCGCGAAGCGTCCTGGCTCGCCCATAGCCCTTCCAGGCAATGTTCCAAGAACAGAATGTTCTTATAACATGTTTGGCTGGGATTGTTTTGTTTTATTACATCGGGTCTGTGTTCTGAGAACACTGTTTTGGTTCTTAGAACATTTCTGGGTTCTGAGAAAACTTCGTGGTAGGACTATAGGAATGCGGGGACGGTCGGTCCCTGCTCAACAGAAGTGAGAGAGCGTGATCCACCGCCGCTTTACTGTGGAAAATTGCCCCCCCCTCCGAAAATCGCCCCCCCCCCCCCCCCCCCCCCTGCTAGAATCCCCACCCCTCCTCCGGCAAAACCCCCCCCTCCCCTAACCCCTCCCCCCCCCCTCCCCCTCGAAAACCGGGGGGGGTCACTACCGGTTCGAACCCCTCCCCCCCCCCCCTCCGGATTTGGAAAACTGGAAAACCGGGGGGGGTCACCCCCTCGAAAACCGGAGGGGGGTCACTACCGGTTCGACCCACCTCCCCCCACGCACCGCCAGCAAACGACTCCCGGTCCCTACCACCGTCCGCATCACATCCCCCACTGTTGTTCCAAGCGCCACTGTCCTCACCACCACTGTCCCCTCTGGTTCCACCACCCACCGTCCCTACTGTCCCCACCAGTGCCCCCACCACTGTCGCACTGTCCCCACTGTTCCCACCACTGTTCCCACCACGGTTCCACTCTCCCCACTGTCTCCACGGACCCAACCACTGCCCGACTATCCCCACTGTCCCCACTGTCCCACTGACTCCTCCGCTGTCCCACTGAGCTGTCCCACTGTTCCCACCACTGTCCCCACTGTCCCCACCACTGTCCCCACTGTACCTCTGTCCCATTGTCCCACCGCCGTCCTCGCCACCGCCTTCACCACTGTCCCCACCACCATTGTACCCTCCACTGTCCCACTGTTTCCACCTCATTCCCATTGTCCCCACACCACTGTCCCCACCACCACCGTCCCCACCACTGTCCACTGTCCCCCCCTGTTCCCACCATTGTCCCCACCACTGTCCCCACCACTACCGTCCCCACCACTGTCCCACTGTCCCACTGTCCCCACCACTGTCCCGCTGTCCCCTCACCACTGTCCCCACCAACACCGTCCCCACCACTGTCCGCACCCCCACTCGGTTTTCGAGGGGGGGGGGGGGTTCGAACGGTAGTGACCCCCCCCGGTTTTCGAGGGGGGGGGGGGGTTCGAACCGGTAGTGACCCCCCCCCCTTTTCATGATGAACTGGGGGGGGGGGGGAGGGGTTCGAACCGGTAGTGACCCCCCCCGGTTTTCCGGGGGGGGGGGGAGGGGTTCGAACCGGTAGTGACCCCCCCCCGTTTTCCACCAGCAGCGGTAGAACACGCTCTTTCACAGAAGTAGATCAAAGCATTGTCAGGGGACGACGTTGGGACCGTTTTGGGGGTATTCCGGTGTGGAGATTCCAAGATAGTCAAGAAATCATCCGGGGACGATGTTGGTTTGACCATTGCTGTTCGACTATGTTTCATTTTGTGTTTTGACCATGTTTGACTATGCTTGACCATTGATATTTGACCATGTTAGTGTATTTGTTGACTACATTTGATCTTTCCTCGACAGTCCGCCTGTAGGAGGACACGCCCGACCTAGGGTTAGGTCGGGCAGGTCCCTCTGCAGAGGGGATATTCAAGGATAGTTGAACAAATTCTGGGTGTCTTAAGAAGCGTGGGGGGGTACGCCCCCGACGGGGGGTCAACCTCGCCTCGTCGTCGCGCCGCGACGGGGGTCGGAGCGCCTTCGGCGCGCCGTGGCTGCCCGCGACAGGGGTCGATGCGGGGCTGTCGGCGGGGGTGGCGCCCCCCCGACGCTGATTGAGAAACTCGGAGTAGTCTGATGACGATGTTTCGCGCTCTATTGTGACCATTGTTGGTTACGTGTTGACCATGCTTACTTTTTCTGCCAAGATCCGCCTGTCCGACCTAAGCCGAGGGCGAGAGTGCCACTCCTCCGACCCCTCGGAGACGAGGCCGAGCGAGAAGGCATGGGAATGGGAGGTTCCAGTGGTCAGGAGATGTCCCTGAGTTCCAGAATTTCCTACTGTTCCCCGCGGGCTCCAGAAACGGGGTGTCCGCTACGTGCCCTGGAGCCCATCGCATCATGGCATCATTCTCGTCCTGTTCTTCCCGGACGCCCCAGGTGGAGGCGGGACGTCTGGGGCGAGGCGAACAGGAACGCCAAGGCCGACCCGTCCGCGTGCAGGAGCCGGAAGGATGCCTACAACCATTTCTGCAACGTGTCCGACGCGGTGATGCTCCACGCGGCCGCCCCCGACGAGGAGCACGGCGAGGGCGAGACGCCAGCGGCGTAGTCTGCTGGCAGCCCGCGGCAGCGCGTCCGGCGTGCGTCGGCGCACGGGCGCGCGCGCGCGTGCACACGGCGAGGCGCGCACCGGGTGCGGTCCCTGCAGCGCCAGCATGCGCGGCGGCGTGCATCCGGCTGGGAGCGTCGGTCCAGCGTCAACGGCACCGTAACGGGTACTTACTAACGGGCCCTTTGAAATGTTGCCGAACGTTGCCACACTAGGGCCTCTTTCTGGCACTGCAGCGCTGCCCGCATCGGGGAGGGTTGGGTTCGCTGGGCCACTGGCCAAAGTACCCGTTAGTGGAGTCCCCGTTTGAGGGGCGCTAAAGCGTCGCGACGCCGGTGCTGGCCCACCGGAGGAGGAGGAGGAGGAGGAGGAGGAGGAGGAGGAGGAGGAGGAGTTGGCCCACCGCGACCTGGCGCGACGACGCGCCCACCTCCTCCGCGGCCCCGCAGCGCCCCCCCGCCTCCCGCCCGGGCGGGGCGGAGCGGCACGCCGGCAGCTCGCAGGGCACAGCGTGTCGTCGGGGTCCCTGGGCCCTCTCTCGGGCCGCCACTGGTCAGGAGGAGAAAAGACACACAGACACAAGGAATCGCCGATTCCCCCGGAAAAAATTTGAAGATTTGGGCAGTGGGGGGCAAGACAGAAACCCAGAAAGTATGGGAAAATATTGGGGAGTCTTTTATTTGCGTGTATTTGTTTGTCCCAGGGCACCTTCAACTGGGGGCCTCTTGAGCTGACCTTTTGGGGCCCTTTTTGGGGGCCGTCAGGGGTCCGGGTATACAAGATGTTGCCGGATTCTGTCGCTGCTGCTCCCACAGCGAAAGATTGTCAACATGTGTTTACGGATCTGGTCAAAACCAGGGCCGCGAATTGGTGCGCGGACTGGAAGGCCACGCTGTCGTGGCGAATCCCTGTGGCTCCCCACCCACTTCGGGTTTGCGCCTTCATGGAGGCCGCTTGGGCCGTCTGAGGGCGACCCGTAGGGCCTCTCGGGCCGTCCTGGAGCGTCGAAGGCCCCTGGCAGGAGAGGGGAGACCGCTCGAGTCCTTCTCGTGCACACGGGAAGTCAGTGATGTGTGTGTGCCTCTCAGGGGGCCTCTTGGGGCCCTCTTGGGACGCCTTGGGGGCCTCCTGGGCCGTCTGGAGTCTTGGGCGTCTTGGAGCGATCTTCGGGCGACCCGGGACGCTCCTGGACCGTTGGAGGGGCCGCTTGGGGGCTTCTTGGGCCGTCCTGGGGCCCTCGCGCCTCATGCGACAAGACACAGTAGCGCCGAGAGCGCCTGAGAGCGTCCGGGAGCGTCCAGAACTCGGGGCTGCTGGTCTGCCAGGGAATCTTCAGGATTGAGGATGTAGGACCCGAGGGGCCTGAGAACACTCAAACTCGTGTCTCAGGGCACGGTGGCTGGTATGTGTACCTACATGCATGTGCGCATGTCTGCGCGTATAAATGGCAATGTGCGCATATATAAATACACGCGTGTACACATATGTGTACGTATGCACGCGTATAAATACTCATGACCTGCCCCCATTGGCATCACCAGGCCTGGTTAGGCCGCACCCCGCGTACGCTTCATAAGCACCCGCCCGCCCTCTAGGTTCAAGGCTGCAATCTTCCGAGCGTGGCCCAGACTGGTCGGGATCGTGGGTCGGCGCTGATTGCCCATATCTTCACAACCAGTAGTCGATCAGTGCAGCCCGAGGATTGCATAGGAGACGGAAAGGGGATACGTTTCGAGGAGGATGACGCGTGGCAAGTCCACTGGGCGCGAGCGGCAAAGGCATGCTGTGATTCTTGCGCGGCTGCTCGTATCACTCTAGAGACGCAATGCTTTTCTGCACTCGGATTGCTTGTGCAGAGTAGGGCCACGGCAGAGACGGATCCGGATTGCGGCCTTCCAAAAAATCCATGTCCGCAATCACACCATTCGTATTGCATGCAGGAAGTTGGCATGCGACCGCTATGCGCGAGACCACCGAGACGCGTTGCGCATAGAGCAGTAGTCGTGCTCAGCTGTCTGTGATGCATTGGCCGTGTGTTGCCGATCCTGGGCAGATAGTCGATCGTTTGAACACCACCTTGTGCGGAACCAACCTCGGGCCGAGCATACGAACTCTCAGTGTCTAATTCGTGTCTGGTGATTGCGCAGTCCTGCTCTTAGCTCAGCTCGAAACTCATCAACGGAGCGCTCCATCGAACCCGGTAGGCGCCGCCCGTTCCTTGCAGCCCGTGGGACCAGGACGTGGATACGGCAGGCTCGCGGCGTGCCGACCGGCGGCGACCCCATGCGCGTGCGTTTTCAAGGCTGAACGCCGCCCGTGGCGCAGAATCGGCCCGTCGTTGAACGATCCGGCGTTCACGGAGCAGCCGATCGGCGTTCCCGGCGGGGGAGGGGAGCGCCTCTTCCTCCTCCTCCTCCTCCTCCTCCTCCTCCTCCTCCTCCTCCTCCTCCTCCTCCTCCTCCTCCTCCTCCTCCTCCTCCTCTTGCGGGAGCGGGGCGGAAGCGGAGCGGCGTTTCCCGGAGCTGCTGTCTCCCGTGGGCACTGTCCGCAAACCCGCCCTCATGAGAGGTGCCCGGCCCCTCTCTCTCTCGCCGGCGCTCGGCACGGCACGCGCGCGCGCCCCACGCTGCGGCAGCGCCCCTCGACGTCTGACGCCTGCTCTGTTCCTTCATGGCACGTCGGTCTGGTATTCAAGTTTTGTTCCACGCAGAAATGAAACTGGATGGTCGTTTTTTTACTCCTGGTTTTGCCGATCGGCGCGGGCCCTCGCACCCCCCCCCGCCCATGGAGATTGCTCCCACGCAAAAATGAAACTGGGTGGTCGTTTGTTTATTTAATCGCTTCGCTCATGCCGCCGGCCCTGGAGCCCTCTTTAGGGCCTCTTGGGGGCCTCTTGGGGACCTCTTGGGAGTCTCTTGGGGCTCCTTGGCGGCGTTTTGGAGGCCCCCAGGGCCTCTTGGGGGGCTCTTGGGGGTAGTCGATTGCGGCTCCCCCCTCGGAGGCCACGATCCTCGTGAGGGGTGTCGAAAAATACCCTCCCCTGGAGTGGTCTGGTGGCTTCTCCCGGGCTTCTCTCGGGACCTTGCCGGGGTACTTTTCGTCCGGGGGCCCCCAGGGGCCGCTCCGCGCGCGCGAACTAGAAATATTGTTGACAAGTTACCGGAGATCTTAGCACGCCTCTGGCCCGTTGGTCGTTTGTTTATTCCTGGTTCTGCCGATCGGCGCGGGCCCTCGGCACACCCCCCTCCCCCCCCCCATGGAGTAGATCTTGGCTGTTTTTGGGGCGCCCGCTTCGGGCAGGAGGAGCCTCCTTCACAATGGACGCACGGCTGCAAACAGTCCCACAGAGGTCTGGAGCCTCCCCCCCCTTCCGCCCAATGTCGAAACGCCGAACAAGAAAATGTTCACGATCTCTTCCGGGTGGGGTCCTGGGTGCTGCGCTTGCGGCGCCATCACGGTGGCAGTGCCAGGGAGTGTTGTTCGAGCGAGTCGTACGCCCTTGGGGGATGCCATGCCATCATCAGCCCCGAACCCTTCCGAAACCGTTCTGGCGCTTCAGTAACATCTTGGACGTAGCTAGGACGAGGGCCAGTCCGTCCCAGAGCGTTTCGGAACGCCCTCCGAGCGCTCCGGAGCGCTCTGAGAAGGCCGCGGCGCCCGAGACTTCCTCGAGAGCCGCTGGCTCTCAGAGATCCTCGAGGCATCCTCGGCCGAGTCAGTCTTCGTCCTGGCCTCGTCTTGGTACAGTCGGGGCCCTGACGAAGGAACCCTTTTCGTTGGGGAGGGGCTCCGTGTTCCTTCATTGTGTCGCGGCTTGCCTGAGATGTTCCTGAGGTTTCCGATGCGACATCGAAATTTTCAACTGATGGAGAATAGGGGCCTCGTTCCTTAGTTAGGGCTCCTTAGGTCAACGCCTCGTCTTGGTGACATCTGGGTCGCCCCCCCGAGGGGGTGGGGGGGGGCGGCGTGGCGTGGGTGCAGGCGCGCCTCGCGGCCTCTCGGGGGTCAGGAGGGCCACGGAGCTAGCCCCAGGCGGCGGCGAGCGAGCGCGGAGGTGCGGGGCAGAGCACCGCACCCCTCGCGCAGGGCGCGAGGCGCGCGGGAGACTTTGGGCGAGCCCCCCCTTCCCCAGATCAGGAGGGGAAAGAACACACAGACACAATTCATCGTCCACTCCCAGGAACATACGGGAAGGGGGGGGGGAAGACAGAAACTCAGAAAATGTAGGAAAATATGGGGAATCCTTTTATGTGTGTGTGTGTATTTATTTGTGTGTCCCAGGGCCCCTTCCCCAGAGGAGGGCCAGTCGAGAAGCGACGTCCTCGGCTACGACGTCGTCGACGACGACGACGACGACGACCACCACCACCACCACGACGCGCCCCCAGCTTTCCCCTCTTATGTTACTGAGTGCAGGGCTCTCGGAACGATCGGGGCGCCTCCGCCTCCTCACCCGCCGTCTCCGTCTTCTCCCCTTCAGACTCACCGATATATACAGACCACTCCCGCTCAGATCCACTTGTACCACTACCACTCAGACTCGCACAGGCGCATATCACTCACAGCATGGTCATTGACAACACTCAGCTCCCACTCGGACCACTCAGACACAGACCCACTCACCCTCTGATTCAATCTCACCGAGATACACTGAGATTCTGAGTTGTTAAGACTCAGACTCACTCACTCATCACACACAGGCCACTCACACTCATCTCCACGCATACCCAGCCACGTCGTAGTCAGACTCGTCACACATTCCACTCACTTACAGTATGATCATTCACACTCACCGTGTGATCACTGCGACGTAGCGGGCGGCACACATGGGCAATCCAATGGGGAGCCGCCAGGAGATGTGACATCATCCCGCTCGCGCCCAGATTGTGGGGATGCTTCAAACTGCTTGCTTGGTTTGGGCACCCCGAGATCCTCTTCCTTGCGCGCTCCGTGACCATCTCGAACCAGCAGGCGTGGCAATGGGGCACCGCAGGCGGGAGCAGCCAGGCAGTGTGACGTTCGTTTTCGCACCCAGATTGCGGGCATGCCTCCAGCGATTTGCTCGGTGCGGATTACCGAGATCCTCTCTCCCCGCAGAGCCCCAGGACCGCCGCAACCTCGCAGGCGTGGCCTGTGGGCACCCGAGGGGGGGAGGCTGCCAGGGGGTATATGGCACTGGACCGCTCGCGCCCGGAGCGGCAGGGATGGCCCAGGCCTGCTGGCTGCTCCGACCCCCCCCCTGGGGATCTCTCCCGCCGAGAGCTCCCGATCACCGCGGCCTGGCACGCGTGGCGCTGGGGCACCCCCGGGGAAGGACCCGCCGATGGGTGTGGCACGTGCCCGCCCGCGCCCGGACTGCGGGGCTGTCTCGGACGGCCTGCCTGCTTTTCTGCCCCTCGGGCCCCTCGTCTCCTGAGAGCCTGACGGCATCGCCGGCCTCGAACTGATCCCCATCCCCGAGATGGACGCGCCAGAAGGCGAGGACAGTCTCAGGGATGCGAAACTGAGGGAACCCCTCTGGTCGGCATCGCGACGAGGCGATGCCCAGCCCAGGGATGAGGATATGTCCCAGGCTGGTGACGGTCACCGCGACCTGGCAGGCGTGGCACCCGGGCACCCAAAAGGGGGGAGAGCCGCCGGGGAGCGGCCCCTCCGCCCGGCGGCGGCCAGGTGCAGGGGATGGCCCGGGAGAGTCGGACGAGCGGCCCCCGACCTCGGCCCGTTCAGAGCCCCAAGGGACCCTCCCTGTGCAGCATCAGGTCGGGCGTGTCCTCCCACAGGCGGATTTTGGACGACAAATAACAAATAATCAAAGCAGATTCAACCTGTCGCATAATGCTGTGAGAATCGTTCCCAGACTATTTGTTTGCTATTGTCAATGTTCTTCAGGTAGAGGAGCATGCCCGACTTGAATGTAGCAGGCATCGCATGTAGGCCCTCCAAAGGGGAGACACCAAGATCGCAGCCGCCTCAGGCCAAACAAACATGTCACTTGGACGAGCCAGGAACCGTGATGCACACATGGGGGTCTCCCCTTCGAACAATGCGTGTTGTTGTTTCCGGGTTCCGGAGGAGGAGGAGGAGGAGGAAGAGGAGGAGGAGGAGGAGGAGGAGGAGGAGGAGGAGGAGGAGGAGGAGGAGGAGGGAGGAGGAGGAGGAGGAGGAGTAGGGAGGAGGGAGGAGGGAGGGAGGAGGGAGGGGGGAGGAGGGAGGAGGAGGAGGAGGGAGGAGGAGGAGGAGGAGGAGGAGGGCCGGGCGGGAGATCGGCCGTTGTCTGACCCGGCAAGAAACTCTTCGGCGCTCGGCAGGGCGCGTGCGCGCCGCGCACGCAGCCATCGGCGCCGGCCACCTGTGATGCCAAGTCGAGTATTGGCAGTCGGCTACGTCTGGGTCGACCAGCAGGGTCCTCCTCCTCCTCCTCCTCCTCCTCCTCCTCCTCCTCCTCCTCATCTGCCCCTCCTCCCTCCTCCTCATCCTCATCCTCCTTCTCGCTCCTCCCTCCTCCTCCTCCTCCTCTCCTTTCATACGCCTCCTCCTCCTACTCCTCCTCCTCCTCCTCCTCCTCCTCCTCCTCCTCCTCCTCCTCCTCCTCCTTTCTAGGCCTCCTAGATGGGGTCGGAGCAGATGGGGTCGGAGGATCGCGCCGCATCGCCGATGCATCGGCGATGCGGCTCCATGTGGGGCCCGATTTTCTCCACGCCACGCCGACGTCGGTCGCCGATGCATCACCGATGTTTCGGCGATGCGGCGAGATCCTCCGACCCCATCAGCTCGGACCCCATCTGGGAGGCCTCTAAGAGGGGGGGGGGCATATGTAAAGGAAGGCGCTCGTTAGGGGTGAAGGCTTGGTGGGCTCCATGTCGCGCAAAAGCGGCGGAAATGACTTTCGATTGCTGTGCGTCTGGCCTCCATTTAGGAGCAACATTATTTCGAGCGACATCCCAGACAGAGCGACACAGGCCGACGCGGATGCCTTTTCTTGTCCTACCCTCCTCCTCCTCCTCCTCCCCCTCCTCATCCTCCTCCTCTCCTCCTCCGCACTCCTCCTCCTCCTCTCCTCCTCCTCCTCCTCCCTCCTCCTCCTCCTCTCCGCCCTCCTCCTCCTCCTCCTCCTCCCTCCTCCTCCTCCTTCGCTCCTCCTCCTCCTCCTCCTCCTCTCCTCCTTTCTCCACCTCCTCCTACTCCTCCTCCTCCTCCTCTCCTCCATCTCCTCCTCCTCCTCCTCCTTCCCCTCCTCCTCTTCCTCCTCCTCCTCCTCCTCGCTTGGGTTTACTTGCTTTTGCCCCTCTGGCCCCTCCGCCTGCCCACGCCCCGTTTCCCCCGCCCTCCTTTCGGGCACCTCGAGGGAGAGGCGTCCTGGCGGAAAGGCGTTCTGGCCCCGACGACCAGGGCTCCCCCCAGGGCCGAGGCGTGGTCCCGATCCGCTTTGGGACCGTCCTGGGGGCCCGGGAAGGCCCCAGGCGGCATGAACACGGCGAAGAAAATATTGGCGCTCCGCGTATCCCCACCGGTGCTCGCTGGGTAATTAGGCTCCGCCTGTAGCCCGGGTCGACCTTTGACGCCGCCTGCGCCTTCGCTTGCGGCTGCGACCGAAAATCCCCACTGGTGGCTTCCCACTTTCGTCACCGCCTTCCTGGGTAAGAGTGGCGCTCCGGTCATCCTTCGCCGCCATCGTGTGCACCGCCTTCCTCGGCACCTTCCTCACGCTCCTGGTGCCCTTCGTCGCCTCCGCGCCACTTTGGCCGCCTGAGCTCTGCCCCGCTGCTTGCCGCTTCTTTCCCGCAGCCAGTGGCATAGCCTGCCCCTGCTAGCCTGGCGTTCGACCCGTTTCGCGCGCCCGCGTACAACGGTTGTTCCCTCTATTCGGCCTTCGGTGACATTCGACCTAGTCATCATCAGCATCAGCATCATCATCATCATCATAATAATAATCATCATCATCATCATCATCATCATCATCATCATCATCATCATCATCATCATCATCATCATCATCATCATCATCATCATCATCATCATCATCATCATCATCATCATCATCATCATCATCATCATCATCATCATCATCATCATCATCATAAGTACCATCCTGTGCTGCCCTGTACTGTGACTGCGTGCAAAAATCCTCCTGCTGTTGCTGTTTCTCCTCTCCTGACGCTGGTGGTGGTGAGGGCGAGCAGTGGGTTGAGTATGGTGGGTGGTGGTTGGTGGGTGGGTTGTGGTGGTGGGTGGGTGGTGGTGGTTGGTGGATCGTCGTCGTCGTCGCCGCCGTCGCCGCCGTTGTCGTCGTCGACGACGGTGGCGACGACGGCGACGGTGCCGGAGCGGCGGTGGCCGCCGGCGCACGCGGCGTGCGCCGGCGTGCGGCACGCCTGCCTGCCCTGGGCCGCTGGCGGGCTGCTGGCGCACGCCTCCCGGCGAGGCCGTGGCGGCGAGGCGCGCAGGGGCAGGGCCTCCTCCTCCTCCTTTCTCCTCCTTCTCCTCCTTGTCCTCCTCCTCCTCCTCCTCCTCCTCCTCCTCCTCCTCCTCCTCCTCCTCCCCCTCGTCGTCGTCGTCGTCGTCCTCCTCCTGTTCCTCCTCCTCCTCCTCCTCCTCCTCCTCCTCCTCCTCCTCCTCCTCCTCCTTCTCCCCTCTGGGACCGTCTTGCGGGTTTCTTGAGCCGTCTTTGGGCGATCTTGGGGGCTTATGGGCCCGTTTCCGAACGTCGGGATCCCGAGAAGGCGAGAACGCGAAGCTCATGGAACACACGCAGAATAATCACAGACGTTGGCCTCCGGGTGTCCTCCTGGAGCCCATTTGGGGCGTCTAAGGGGCCTCTTGGCCTTCAGAAGCCGTCTTGGGCCGTCTTGGCGCCGTCTTATTGGCCTTCTGAACTCTCTCAGGGCCCTCTTCGACCGTCTTGCACGCCTGTTGGAGGCCCTTTGGGCCGTCTTGGGGCGATCTTGCGGCCTATGAGCTCGTCTGGAGGCGTCGGGTGCCTGAAAGGGCGAGGCCGCTTAAATCATTTAACAACCTAATGGGACTCAAGGATTTTTGCCCCCTGGAGGTCCTCTTGAAGCTCTCCTGGGGCGTCCACGGGGCCTCCTGGTCATTTGGGGCCTCTTGGGGGAATCTCAATGGCCTGGGGGATCTTGGGGCCATGTTGGGGCGGAGGGCTCAACGTGTCAGTTCGTGCTCCCTTTCTTGGGCCTGCTTGGGGTAATGTTTGGCCCCTCTTGGGGGCTCTCGGCTAGTTTTTGGGCGGTCTTGGGCGCTCTGGGCCGACGTGGACGCCCGAAAGACCAAAAAGGATGGTAATATCAACACCATACCAAGCACATGTGTTTTGATGAGTTTGGCCTCTTGAGCCGCCCTCCAGGGCTTCCAAGATGGCCCAGGACGCGTCCGAGAGGGCTCCAGGACGGTGGTTGGGGCGATCTTAGGCCATGTTGGACATGCACGCCCCCAACAACGCGCTCTTGTCTCTGGAAAAGTCACGCGGAGATCTCCTGGAACGCACAAGAGCGGTGGCGGATCTTGCGCATGGAAAGCGGGTGGTGCTCGCGTCTTCTCGCCGTGCGCATTCTTTTCTGCATATTTTGCAACAGTTTCACGGATGGCGGGCGGGTGGGTTTCAAAATGTGCGTTTTGCCACTGTTTCGTGTGAATTTGTTTTACAAGTCGCAGGCGTGCAACGATTGCGCATGGAGGTAGGTTTATTTTCAAAGCGAGGTTGTCGCTATTGGCCCCGCGCACATTCGCCTCGCACTTCCCAACAGCATCACGGGTAGAGGGCGGCTCTTTTTCAAGCCCTTTCAAGCCTTCGCGGGTTTTGCGACCATCGTTCCAACGTCGCTTTTGTAAACGGGTGGAGGGCGACTCCTTTCCGATGCGGAGCTCTCGCTCTGATGCTCCTTTGAGCTTTACACGACCAAGCTTTCATAATTGTTTAGCGGCAACGTTGGTGTAGGATGTGTTGTTGTTGTTGTTGCTGTTTTTGTTGTGGTTGTTATTGTTGTTGTTGTGTTTGTTTTGCTTTGTTCCGTCATGTGGTGTTGGGTTCTCGTTTTGAAGAGACAGCGCCCCGCGCCCCCCCCTCCCGTTGCCCCCTCTCTTCTCCTCTTATCATCATTATCACCATCATCATCGTCCTTCTCTTCCTCATCATCGCCGTCGTCATCGCAACCGTAACCCATCATTATCATCACCATCATCATCATCATCATCACCATCATCACCATGATCACCACCATCATCTTCATCATATTCTCCGTCATCACCATCATCATCACCACCGTCCTCATCACCACCATCATACGCATCATCACCATCATCAGTATCACCATCATCGTCATCATCATCATCACCACCATCACCATCAGCATCATCATCATCACAAGCGGCACCGACCCGTCCCCTGAGACGAATTCTACGAACTGGATGGTCTTTTGATCGCTCCAGGGCCCAGGAACGGCCCCCAAGGCCCGAAATGGCGGAAAGGCGCCGGGATTGAACGAATCGCGTCGTTGAAGCCTGGGCTTCAAGAGGCCTCCCGAGGTCAGTGGGAATCTTTCGGGGCCGACCGAGGCCCAGCGACTGCCCAACGCACGAAAAACACACCGAAACCCACGACACGGATGCAGCCACGCAGTGCTGTAACAAGGATCGCTGTAACAAGGATCGAGGTCAGGGTGCCCGGGCGGGAGAGGAGGGCGGGGCACAGAACTGGAGGAAGGGTGGGAGGGAGGAAGGGAAGGATTGAGAAAGAGACAGAGAGAGAGAGAGAGAGATCAACAAGGCCTTCCCCCCCCTCCACGTCCCACTCCCTCTCGGGCCGGACGAAGAGGGAGGATAGGGAAAGAAGGGGGTGCGAAAGTTGCTGCATGTAGTTTTTTTCGGCCCCACTGAGGGGCCCATTCCTCGATGCATGGCCGCCTCCGGCGCCGGGGGGCGCCGGGGAAACCAGCTACGCGAGCTGATTTTCAAACCCCCCATTTGCTATCCCCCGCTTTCGCCCAGCCCGACCCTCCCCCGCCTACCCCCGCTTTCCCTGTCCCTCCCCCCCTTCCCCGTTCCCCTCCCCCTCCACTTCCCCTGCCCCTCCCCTCAAATCCTTGCGCGGGGTCGGTCGCCCCAGCGGGTCCGACCAAACCGCATGCGTGCCCCGGAGCACCCCGCGGGACCATTTTGAGTGATTAGTTTTTTCGCCGCCTTCCGGCAAAAGGCAGCCTAAGCGGTCGCCGCGGATGTTGCCATTAGCCTCCCCCGGAACATCCAAAACAATCTTTTCTGAAGGTTCCCGGAAGCTGCCCGGGGAACGGCGGGCAGAGCCCATGCGTGGAGGCAGGGAGGCAAGGTGTTCCACCCCCTCCCCTCCGTTCTTCCCCCCTCTCCCCCCCTCCCTCGCCCCCTCTTTCTCCTCGCGGCCTCCTCCGTCATTATCCTCTCCTTGCGCCTCCTCCTCCTCCTCCTCCTCCTCCTCCTCCTCCTCCTCCTCCTTCCCTCTTCTTCACCCCGCGTCCGGCTCTATCTGGTGCCATTCCTCGTCTTCCCCCTCCTCCTACCTCCTCCTCCTCGCCCCCTCCATTTCCTCCGCCTCCTCCTCCTCCTCCTCCTCCTCCTCCTCCTCCTCCTCCTCCTCCTCCTCCTCCTCCTCCACCTCCTCCTCCTCCTTTTTCCCCCTCCTACTCCCCCACACCCCCGCTGCGCCCATTGCCCGTTGGCTCAACTACTTATTTGAACCTGGCTCAAACTACTTATTTGAATACGTCGTTGGCAACTACTTATTTCTTAAAAAATAAGTAGTTGCCAACGACGTATTCAAATAAGTAGTTGAGCCAAGTTCAAATAAGTAGTTGAGCCAACGGGCAATGGGCGCAGCGGGGGCGTGGGGGAGTAGGAGGGGAAAAGGAGGAGGAGGGGGAGGAGGAGGAGGAGGAAGAGGAGGAGGAGGAGGAAAAGGAGGAGGAAAATGGAGGGGGCGGAGGAGGAGGGGGAGGAGGAGGGGGAAGACGAGAAATGGCACCAGGATAGGAGGACGCGGCGGACGAGGGGTGAAGATGAGGAGGAGGAGGCGCAAGGAGAAGATCATGAGGGAGGAGGCCGCGAGGAGAAAGAGGGGGCGAGGGAGGGGGGGAGAGGGGGGAAGAACGGAGGGGAGGGGGTGGAACACCTTGCCTCCCTGCCTCCACGCATGGGCTCTGCCCGCCGTTCCCCGGGCGGCCTCCTGGAACCTTCAGAAAAGATTTTGTTTCGGATGTTTCGGGGGAGGTTTATGGCAACATCCGCGGCGACCGCTTAGGCTGCCTGTTGCCGGAAGGCGGCCAAAAAACTAATCACTCAAAATGGTCCCGCGGGGTGCTCTGGGGCACGCATGCGGTTTGGTCGGACCCGCTGGGGCGACCGACCCCGCGCAAGGAATTGAGGGGAGGGGCAGGAGGGGAATGGGGAAGGGGGGGAGGGACAGGGAAAGCGGGGGTAAGTGGGGGAGGGTCGGGCTGGGCGAAAGGGGGGGGATAGCAAAGGGGGGGTTTGAGAATCAGCTCGCGTAGCTGATTTCCCCGGCGCCCCCAGGCGCCGGAGGCGGGCCGAAAAAAACTACATGCAGCAACTTTCGCAACCCCCCCTTTCCCTATCCTCCCTCTTCGTCCGGCCCGATAGTGGGTGGGACGTGGAGGGAGGGAGGGCCTTGCTGATCTCTCTCTCTCTCTCTCTCTCTCTCTCCCTGTCTCTTTCTCAATCCCTCCCTTCCTCCCTCCCACCCTTCCTCCAGCTCTGTGCCCCGCCCTCCTCTCCCGCCCGGGCACCCTGACCTCGATCCTTGTTACAGCGATCCTTGTTACAGCACTGCGTGGCTGCATCCGTGTCGTGGGTTTCGGTGTGTTTTTCGTGCGTTGGGCAGTCGCTGGGCCTCGGTCGGCCCCGAAAGATTCCCACTGACCTCGGGAGGCCTCTTGAGGCCCAGGCTCTAACGACGCGATTCGTTCAATCCCGGCGCCTTTCCGCCATTTCGGGCCTTTGGGGCCGTTCCTGGGACCTGGAGCGATCAAAAGACCATCCAGTTCGTAGAATTCGTCTCAGGGGAGGGGTCGGTGCCGCTTGTGATGATGATGATGATGATGATGATGATGATGATGCTGGTGGTGATGGTGGTGATGATGATGATGACGATGATGATGGTACTGATGATGGTGATGATGCGTATGATGGTGGTGATGCAGACGGTGGTGATGGTGATGGCGATGACTGAGGAAATGATGAAGATGATGGTGGTGATCATGGTGATGATGATAATGGTGATGATGATGATGATGATGATGATGATGATGATGATGATGATGGGTTACGGTTGCGATGACGACGACGATGATGAGGAAGAGAAGGACGATGATGATGGTTATAGTGATGATAAGAGGAAAACAGAGGGGGCAACGGGAGGGGGGGCGCGGGGCGCTGTCTCTTCAAAACGAGAACCCAACACCACATGATGGAACAAAGCAAAACAAACACAACAACAATAACAACCACAACTAAAACAGCAACTACAACAACACATCCTACACCAACTTTGCCGCTAAACAATTATGAAAGTTTGGTCGTGTAAAGCTCAAAGGGGCATCAAAGCGAGAGCTCCGCATCGGAAAGGGGTCGCCCTCCACCCGTTTACAAAAACGACGTTGGAACGATGGTCGCAAAACCCGCGAAGGTTTGAAAGGGCTTGAAAACGAGCCGCCCTCTACCCGTGATGCTGTTGGGAAGTGCGAGGCGAATGTGCGCGGGGCCAACAGCGACAACCTCGCTTTGACAATAAACCTACCTCCATGTGCAGTCGTTGCACGCTTGCGACTTGTAAAGCAAATTCACACGAAGCTGTGGCAAAACACACATTTTGAAACCCACCCGCCCGCCATCCGTGAAGCTGTTGCAAACTATGCAGAAAAGAATGTGCATGGCGAGAAGACGCGAGCACCACCGGCTTTCCATCCGCAAAATCCGCCACCGCTCTTGTGCGTTCCAGGGGATCTCCCCGTGACTTTTCCAGAGACAAGAGCGCGTTGCTCGGGACGTGCATGTCCAAAATGGCCTAAGATCGCCCCAACCACCGTCCTGGAGCCCTCTCGGACGCGTCCTGGGCCATCTTGGAAGCCCTGGAGGGCGGCTCAAGAGGCCAAACTCATCAAAACCCATGTGCTTTGTATGGTGTTGCTATTACCATCCGTTTTGGTTTTTCGGGCGTCCACGTCGGCCCAGAGCGCCCAAGACCGCCCAAAAACTAACCGAGAGCCCCCAAGAGGGGCCAAACATTACCCCAAGACAGCCCCAAGCAGGCCCAAGAGAGGGAGCACGAACTGACACGTTGAACCCTCCGCCCCAACATGGCCCCCTGAGATTCCCCCAAGAGGCCCCAAATGACCAGGAGGCCCCGTGGACGCCCCAGGAGAGCTTCAAGAGGACCTCCACGGGGCAAAAAACCTTGAGTCCCATTAGGTTGTTGAATGATTTAAGCGGCCTCGCCCTTTCAGGCACCCGACGCCCAAAGACGAGCCCATAGGCCGCAAGACCGCCCCAAGACGCCCCAAGAGGCCTCCAACAGGCGTGCAAGACGGTCGAAGAGGGCCCTGAGAGAGCTCAAATGGTCAATAAGACGGCGCCAAGACGGTTTCTGAAGGCCAAGAGGCCCCTTAGACGCCCCAAGTGGGCTCTAGGAGGACACCCGGAGAACAACGTCTGTGATTATTCTGCGTGTGTTCCATGAGCTTCGCGTTCTCGCCTTCTCGGGCTCCCGACGTTCGGGAACGGGCCCACAAGCCCCCAAGATCGCCCAAAGACGGCTCAAGAAGCCCGCAAGACGGCCCCAGAGAGGAGAAGAAGGAGGAGGAGGAGGAGGAGGAGGAGGAGGACGACGACGGAGGAGAGGAGGGAGAGAGAGAGGAGGAGAGAGGAGAGGAGGAGGAGGAGGAGGAGGAGGAGGAGGAGGAGGAGGAGGCCCCTGCCCCTGCGCGCCTCGCCGCCGCGGCCTCGCCGGCAGGCGTGCGCCAGCGGCCCAGGGCAGGCAGGCGTGCCGCACGCCGGCGCACGCCGCGTGCGCCGGCGGCCACCGCCGCTCCGGCACCGTCGCCGTCGTCGCCACCGTCGTCGACGTCGGCGGCGACGACGGCGACGGCGGCGACGATCCACCAACCACCACCACCCACCCACCACCAAAACACACCCACCAACCACCACCCACCGTACTCAACCCACTGCTCGCTCTCACCACCACCAGCGTCAGGAGAGGAGGAACAGCAACAGCAGGAGGATTTGTGCACGCAGTCACAGTACAGGGCAGCGCAGGATGGTAATTATGATGATGATGACGATGATTTTGATGATGATGATGATACTTTGATGATGATGATGATGATGATGATGATGATGGTGATGATGATGATACTTAATGATTATGATGGTGATGATGATGATACTGATGATGAAGATGATGATGGTGATGATGATGATGATGAAGATGATGATGATGATGATGATGTTGATGCTGATGCTGATGCTGATGATGACGAGGTCGAATGTCACCGAAGGCCGAATAGAGGGAACAACCGTTGTACCTAAAAGTACCCCCACCGGCCCGTGCAAAAACAGTCACCCCGTGGCTGGGAAGTCCCTGGGAGCTCGTCTGGAGCTGTTCCGGGGCTACGGCGGGGGGGGAGGGGGGGGGGTCTGGAGGCCGGGGGCGGAAGAGCGGGAGAGGGAGCGAGGGGGGGCGGAGGGGCGTGAGGGGGAGAAGGGGGGGAGGAGCGGGGGGGGGGGGGGCAGAGGCGAGAGCGGAGGGGGGGCGACGCGGGGGGAGCGGAGCGGGGGGCGGCTGGAGGGGGAGGTGGAGGGCCCCACGCCTCCCGGAACGCCCCGTCCCGACCCAGGGGGGGGGGGGAGGGGGGGGGGCCCTGCGCCAAGGGGAAGCACGGGGCTGGCGGGAACGAGCTCGCCAGAGCACCCACGCCCAGAGGGCTTCGTGGGATTACAGGGCTTCTTTTTGGACGGACGCGCGGTCCTCATGGCGACCCCCTTCTCGCGCTGGAAGGTCCGCAGACGCGGCGAGGAGGAGCGTCCAAGAGGCCCCCGAAAACACGAAACACGCCCAAACACCTGGATCCGCAAACCTCACGCTTCGAGAGTCAACGATGTCGTCGTCCTCGTCCTCCTCGTCCTCGTCGTCGTCCTCGTCGTCGTCGTCGTCGTCGTCGTCGTCCTCGTCGTCGGTGCAAACGGGGGTCAGTCAGAGAGCCGGATCCTGCAGGGTCCCTGCAGGGTCGGGGCGCTGCCCTGGCCCGGGCTTGGCTGCAGTAGCCTGCGGGAGCCTGCACTGGCCTGACTGGCCCGGGCGTTGCACTGACCCGGGTCGGTGCGTCCCCGATGTCTGTCCCCGCGCCGGGCTGCTCCGGCGCGCGGCGCCTTTGCGTCTTTGGATTGGGCACCGCGGGCACCCCCTGAGATCCGACGGTGCCCCAAAAAAACACAACCTCGCAGAAAAGTACGCCTGGAGCCCCGGACCGCACTTCTCCGCGTCATTTTTCGAGCCGGATCGATCAGTGTCAAGGGGATAAAAAAAACGCCCCTACCCTGGTTTACGAGGCGCTGTGCGCTGAAACTCCTGTGGGCTGACAGGGTAAACCCTGCGTGATGTGCCGCGTCCTGGCGGCTCTAGGCTTTTTGGGGGTTCCCACGCACGTGCAACCCAGGGTAGGGCCGTTTTTTTCATCCCTCAACAGTGAGGGTCCCAAGGCCCGAAATGGAGCGCAGACGCCCTTTCTGTCAAGAAATTGCAGCGCCGGGATCTCGAGGCCTGGGCAGGCGCCGCCTCGGGCGCGGTGGGCTCGCGCCGTGGGGTGGTGCCGCGGGGCCGGCTTCGCCTGCTTGGGCGCGGGGCGCAGGGCCTGCCGTGGGTCTGCCGCGGTGCCGTCGTCGTCCGCGACGACGGAGGGGGAGGAGGAGGAGGAGGAGGAGGAGGAGGAGGAGGAGGAGGAGGAGGAGGAGGAGGAGGAGGGCGCGGGAGTGCAACGACGGATCCCCCCAGAGGTCACAGGTCTGCAAAAACTGTCCGTCGTGACCGTGCCCTCCAGACCCCCGACGTCGTGAGTTGTGTCGCAGCGTCGGCTCCCAGAGCTCTGGACCTCTTCCCCGGGACCGGCTCTTCATCCCGAGTCGTTTTGTTCACAGCCCCGAGGCCCGGCAAGGGCTTCCGGAGGCCGAAAATAGCGAAAAGCTTCCCGTCGTGATTTGTGTCGCAACGCGAGGGGGTCTGGGATGGACAAAAACCTCCCGTCGTGACCGTGACCTCTTTCTGGCACGAAGAGTCTAGGCCTCCCAGATGGGGTCCAAGTAGATGGGGTCGGAGGATCGCTCCGCATCGCCGATGCATCGCCGATGCGGCTCAATGTGGAGCCCGGTTTCCTTCACGCCGACGTCGCCGATCGCCGACGTCGACGATGCATCGGCGATGCGTCGCCGATGTGTCGACGATTCGGCGAGATTCTCCGACCCCATCTACTCCGACCCCATCTCCTCCGACCCCATCTGCTCCGACCCCCTCTACTCCGATGCCGTGTGAAGTGTTGGCAGTCGGCCGTGCCTGGGTCGACCAGAAGGGTGGAAGAGAGGGGGCACCTGTACAGGGGAAGGCGCTTGTCTTATGATGCTCCAACCTACTTTAGCTTTGACCACCAGGAAAAATGTCGAGCGGCCCCAAAAAGTACCGAAACTCAAGGGCTTTCACGCGTCGGGCCCTGGGAGACACCCGCCCGACCCTGTTTCGACACTGTGCCGACACCCTTTCGACACTTCTCCGGGTGCTCGAACTTATTTAATCGCTTCGCTCATGCCGCCGGCCCTGGAGCCCTCTTTAGGGCCTCTTGGGGGCCTTTTGGGGACCTCTTGGGAGTCTCTTGGGGCTCCTTGGCGGCGTTTTGGAGGCCCCCAGGGCCTCTTGGGGGGCTCTTGGGAGTAGTCGATTGCGGCTCCCCCCTCGGAGGCCACGATCCTCGTGAGGGGTGTCGAAAAATACCCTCCCCTGGAGTGGTCTGGTGGCTTCTCCCGGGCTTCTCTCAGGACCTTGCCGGGGTACTTTTCGTCCGGGGGCCCCCAGGGGCCGCTCCGCGCGCGCGAACTAGAAATATTGTTAACTAGTTACCGGGGATCTTAGCACGCCTCTGGCCCGTTGGGCCGGCGAATTTCTGGGGTGTGGTCTCCAAGTGCGACGGGAGCAACATAACGCTCGTCGGGGGTGACGGCTTGGCGGGCGCCACGCCTTCACGACACGCCTCTCCGAGAGGGGCCCCGGGGGCCCCCCTCCCGAGGCGGCGGGCGCCGAGGCGGCGGCGCCGATGCGGCGCAGGGGCCTGCCCGCCGAGGGAGCGGCGGCTGGCGGCTGCGGCTCGCCGCTGCGGCTCGGGCGGCGACGACGAGGACGACGACGACGACGACGACGACGACGACGACGACGACGACGACGACGACGAGGACGACGACGAGGACGACGACGACGGCGACGGCGACGACGACCCTTGAGGGGGCTTCCTACTGATGCGCCGCGCGGTCTCGCCGTGTGCGCGCTCGATGTGCGACGGCGGGCGGCGCTGGAGCCAAGGTGGCTGCCGCTGTCACCACCGCGGACACAGTGAAAAGTGAGGAGGAGGAGGAAGATGAGGAGGAGGAGGAAGCTGAGTAGGAGGAGGAGGAGAAGGAGGAGGAAGCTGAGGAGGAGGAGGAGGAGGAAACCGAGGAGGAGGAGGAGCAGGAGGAGGGAGAGGAGGAGGAGGAGGCGGAGGAAGGAGGAGAGAGGAGGAGGGGAGGAGGAGGAGGAGAAGGAGGAGGAGAGGAGGAGGAGGAAGGAGAGGAGGAGGAGGGGGAGAGGAGGAGGAAGAGGAGGAGGAGGAGAGAGGAGGAGGAGGAGGAGGAGGAGGAGTGGGCGCGAGCCCATACAGTGGGGACGCGCACCAAGAAACCGTGTGGTTTCTGTCAGGGTGCCCCGGGTGTCTTCGTTCCCAGCGATGCGGGATGACTTCCCTGGTCGTTGAGGAACTGCCGCCCCCCGGGTTGCTCCCCGCATCGCAGCTCGCGCCTCTCTTGATCACGCCCCGGGAAGAAACTTCTCGGGCCAGGATACCGTGGGTTTCTCCGATTGGAGCCCTTGGCCACGAGACCCAGTCCCTGGGTTTCTCCCCGAATCGCAGCTCGCGCCTTTCTTGATCACGCCCCTGGGAGAAACTCCTCGGGCCAGGAGACCTCGGGTTTCTCCGAGTGGAGCCCTTGGCTACGAGACCCAGCCCCTGGGCAGGAAGGAGGAGGGGAAGGAGGAGGAGGAGGGGGAGGAGGGGGAGGAGGAGGAGGAGGAGGAGGAGGAGGAGGAGGAGGAGGAGGAGGGAGAGCGGAGGAGGAGGAGGATGAGGAGGAGGAGTGGGCGCGAGCCCATACGGCCAGGAGACCCTGGGCTTCTCCGAGTGGAGCCCTGGGCTACGAGACCGAAGCCCCTGGGCAGGAAGCCTGTTGGACTTTCAGGGCCGGGTTTTTTCTGCGGAGGTGTCCCGCGGCCGCGCCCCCACGGCGGGCAGGCCGCGGGAGGGAGGGAGGGAAAGAGGGAGGGAGGGAGGAGAGAAAAAAGGGAAAGGGAGGAGGGGGGAAAGAGGGAGGGAAAGAGGGAGGGAAAGAGGGAGGGAGGGAGGAGGGGAGGGGGGGGGGGAGGGAAGAGGGAGGGGGGAGAGGGGAGGGAGGGGAGGAGGGAGGGAGGGGGGGGGGGAGGAAAGGGGGGAAGGGAGAGAGGGAGGATGGGAGGGAGGGAGGGAGGATGGGAGGGAGGGTGGGAGGGAGGATGTGAGGGAGGATGGGAGGGAGGGAGGGAGGAGGTCCCGAGGGGGCGAGGGTGGCGGTGGAAGCGGCGACAGCAGCCGCGCCCCACGCCGCCGCCGCGGCTCTCGCCGCCCAGCGTGGCCGGGTCGGGCGCGCGCACGCCGCGCGCGCCTGCGCGCGGTGGGCGCGCGCGTTGTCGCGTGCCCGCCCCGCTTCCTGCGCCCCGGCGGCGGCATGCCGCGCGGGATCCTGGAGGCCGGGGGGGGGGGCTCCTGTTGCAAGTCATGGCGGCGTGGCACTCCCTCTTTAACTCTGACTTGAGAGCGTCGATTAGCGTCTGGAGGTTGATGAGACAGCGCCAGTTCAGCGTCGGCTGGCGTCGATTCGCGTCGACGTAGCGTCGATGTGGCGTCGATTCGCAAGAGCCGACAGGGTGGTTCGGGGCCGAGGAAGCGCAAACATGTCCCAAGGCGCGTGGATCAGCGACAATCCCGTTTCCATCAAGGATTGGCGCGCTTCGTCGCCAAAACAGGCGGCATTGGCGTGTCATAGCCGACCTGGAATTTCAATACGCCAGCAATGCACCCGAATAGCAGCAAAGGTGACTTGTGGGGCAGGTGGAAACTGTGCGACTTGTGCAGTATGTGGGGCCTGTGAAGCCTGCAGGACTTCTGTGGCATATGGGACCTGTGAGACTTGTGGGGCACGAGCTATGGACCTGTGTGACCTCTGAGACTTGCGGGACTTGTTGGACCTGTGCGACCTGGGGGACCGATGTGGCCTTTGGGGCCTGTGAGACCTGCGTCCTGTGGGGCGGGTGGGAGCTGTGGACCTGTGGGATAGCGGGAACTGTCGAACCTACTTGCGAGACCTGTGGGACTTGCGGGACTGGCGGGACTTTTAGAGGCTGTGGGACCCGGGAACCTTTGTGGGACTTCTGAGACCTGCAACACCTGTGGAACCTGTCGGACGGGACCTATGGGGCATGCGAGAGCTACGACACTTGTGGAACTTTTCAGACCTGTGATACTTGTGGGACCTGTGGGGCGACCTGCGCCACATCTTGGCCCTGTGGGACCTGTGAGACCTGTGAGGCATGCGAGACCTGCGGGACCTGTGAGACTGGCGAGACCTGCGGGATCGGATCCAGAAAAGTGGCCCACGCTGTAGCGAAAGCGCCATTCGGAACGACGAGAGCAAAGCGCCGATCCGAACATCAGGCCCACGCTTCAGCGGGAGCAACATGTCGAGGGGCCGCACAATCGGATTCGAAAAACACATGCAGAAGATGCTGCCCTGTTCTCTGTGCGTGTGTGACAACAGCTCGCTGAAGGGAGGCTGGGATCTTCCGGCAATGGTCGGGGAAGGGAGGAGAGCAAAACTCATGTGTGCAATTGTAGAGGAGGGGACAGGGGAGGAGAGAAGAGGAGAGCCCCGAGCGCTCCGTGGAGGCCCCTGCCAAGAAAGCACCCGGCTTGCCTCCAGAATCAAGCAGTGGCGAAGCGTCTTGGCGTGCCTATAGGCCTACCAACCAAAGAATGTTCTAAGAACCTTTTGCAGTTTCCACGAAATGCTCTTAGAACATTTCTGGTTGGGACCGTCTTGTTTTAACACATCGGGCGTACGTTCTAAGACAATTGGTTTGTTTTCGAACATGTTTTTGAATTCTAGGAGCATGTCGTGGTAGGCCTATAGAAATGCCAGGACGGCCGGTCCTTGCTCAACAGAGTGCCCTGGGTTTCTTGGGTCCCCATGGTTTTGCGATGGAGCGCGCACCAAGAATCGATGGACGTCCTGGGGTGTCAGGGTTGGGTGTCCTGTGGCAGGTCCCTCGTGGTCGGGCCCCCACTGCAGAGGCCCGGCCTCCCATCCCCCACGAAGCAGGGCCGCGCGCGGCGCAGGAGCTCCTCGCAGCAGCTCGAGCGGGCGTCTGGGAGGGGCCGAGGATCGGGGGGCAGCGTTAATGGAGGATGACGATTAATAAATGACCGGGGGTCGTGTTCACGCGGCGGCGCCCGGGATGACGATTAGAAAAAACCGTCCGCGGGCTGGAAAACTATGTTTTAAATCGTTCTCCTCCAGTCCGAAAATTGTGCAGAAATCGCAGGAAACTATTCGTTTTATCGTTCTCTCGCCTTTTTTAAAAAATTAATCGCAATGTGTGTATCGATATCTCGCCTTTTTTTATCGTTCTCTCGCCTTTTTTATCGTTCTCTCGCCTTTTTTTCTGAATCGTCATCCCGCGTTAGGGGGGAGAGGCTCAGGAGCCGGCTCGGGGGGGGGGGGCGCGGGGGCCTCGGCGCCCCAACCGCCCACGGCGGGCCGAGGGGCCGCCCCGCCGCAAAGACGTGCGGCCCCGTGAAGCAGCTGGTCGGGGGCCGCTCGATCGCCGATCCGTCGGCGCTGCATCGCCGACTCGAGCTCGACGTTCTCCCCCCCCCCCCTGAGCTGGTCCCCCCTGACTAGGGGAACAGAAGGTGGCATAAACATGAAAACTCGGAGGTCCGCGCGGATTTCTCGGATCGGCGCTGGACTCCCCTCCCTGGCGCGCGGAGCGCGCCAGGGGCGGCGCCGGAGGCGCCGCCAGGGGGCCCCAGCGCCGATCCGAGAATTCCGCGCGGACCTCCGAGTGATTATGGTTATGTCATTGTTCGTTCCCCTACTGACGTTGCCCCGCAGAGGGGGGGCATCCCTAGGATCACCTCTGCATGGGGTGGCCGAGCAGGGCCGGCCGCTCCAGATCGCAGCAGAGGGCCTGCGCCGCCTCGAGCGGCTTCGGGGGAATAGGGGGGGGGGCGGGGAGATGGAGGCTGCAAGAGAGAGAGAGAGAGAAGTAGAGGTGGAGAGGGGTAGAGAGAGGTAGGGACAGGTAGAGAGAGAGAGAGAGAAAGAGAGGTAGAGAGAGAGGGGTGGATAGAGAGAGAGGGGTGGATAGAGAGAGAGAGTGGTAGAGAGGGGTAGAGAGAGGGAGGGGGAGAGAGAGAGAGAGAGAGAGAGAGAGGTAGGTAGAGAGAGGGGGGAAGAGAGAGAGGGGGGGAGGAGCCGTGGCCTTTCTTGTTTGCTCAGGGCACAGGGTTTGAGCTGCGTCGCTGGCCTGGGCTGGGGCTTGGTCTCCAGTTGTCTGCCTGCGCTGCCCGCGGCTGGCTGGCCTCCAGAGCTCCTGGCTGTAGATTCGATCCGACCTCCTTCCCTGGCCTCGGAGCCCATACAGTCGGGGCCCTGAAGGAGGAACCCTTTTCGTTGGGGAGGGGGCTCCGCGTTCCTTAAGTGTTTCACAGCTTGCCTCAGGTTTTCCTTAGGCTTTCGTAGGACATCGAAGTTTAATTGATGGACAAAAAAGGGGCATCGTTCCTTATTTAGGGTTCCTTCGGTCAACGCCCCGACTGTACTCCAGACTCCCCCTGCCCCGCGGCGCCGCGAACCGAAAAAACTGCGACGGACGGTGGTTGGCTTCTTCTCTGCCTCTGCAGGTGCCGTTGCCGGGCCGGCCCGCGGGCCGCCAAAAGGCGGCTCAGGATCTTAAGGCGGGCCCCCGGGGCACGGCTTGAGATCTGCGGCGCCTCACGCTGTGAAAGACCACGGCCTCGGAGCTCCGGATTTGGACGG